ATTTCAGACTTTTCATAATAATAATAATAGGTAACACTTATACAGGTCTTTAAAGTTTGCAAAATGTTTTCTATATATCCATATATTATCTTATTTGAACTTCACCACAGCCCTATGAATTAGGTGCTATTATACCCCCCCTCCCCATTTTACAGATGAGAAAACTGAGGATGAGAAAGATAAATGATCTGTTCATGGTCACTCTACTAACAAAGTATCTAAGGTAGGATTTGAACTCAGGTCTTCCTGACATCAGCTCCATCCCTGGACCTAAGTGTTTGACTCTCCAGTCTTACTAACTCTGTATTAGTAGCTTCAGGTTAGGAGGAAAGGGGAATGTTCCGAGCAGCTCACAAGCAGGCCGGGACTTGAGGACAGCATGATGCTAAGCAAAGGGTCCTGTACTCAGTTATTCTTGCCCTTTGAATCTGCCTGTTTTTCATACCTTTCAGTTAATGACCTATGACTCTATACCCGGAACTGGATTTAGCTTGAACCTTTCTCAGTGCAATTTGCTGATTTGTGAAATGGCTTTTTGCTTACCCATTTATATGGCAGAAGCAGACTTTCTATGCAGCCACGCTATGATGCTTGCAAGCATTACCACTTCTGTTTTACAAATGAGGAAACTGAGGCCCAGAGAGGGGAAATGATCTCAGCTAGGATCAGAGCTTCAATGCATATTCCCACATCTTGACGCTCTCAACAACAGCATACCAACATTTAAGATACAAAGGCTTGCCTCTTTCTCCCAAGAATACTGTTTGATCTCTAGTGGTTTCTTGTCCTGGATCTCCATTTTTAAGTCTGTTTTCTCTGTCTCTCTGGCACTGTTCACCTACTCTCTAGCCCACCAATTCCACTCATATTCCTTCAGGCTAATCCCAGGAAGGGCCAGGAAGGGACTGGATTCTCTGCTAAATCAAAGGTATGAGATTTTACAGCATTAAATTTTCCTCTGTGTAAGGAGAATTTCTCAAATCTCACTTACCAAGTGTTATCAATAGCGGAGATGGGCATAAAGGCCTCCTGTGGGATGGAACATTGCCTGGGGCTATATGTCAGAACAAGAAAGTAATGATAAAACATGAAAAGACACATTTTAGAAATAGAGGTGTATGCAGCCAGTGATGGCTATGAAGCGCACATAGGCCTTGGTGGTTTGTATGTAGTGGTACATGCAAAATATACGGGACTTTTATGTAGGGGCACTAGGGAAGAAGTTGGTGTATACATGTGGAGAGATATAGAGGATTTCTGTGTAGGGACATATGCTTGTGTCAGATGTATGAGGCCATTAGTATGGATGGCTTATGAAAGATTCTGCCCTGGGCTTGAGGTTACTGACCATTTCAGCTTTCCATTTCAGCTGATCTTGGAGACCTTGCCCTTGGCCCCCAGGTTTTTTTTCCCCTTGACTAATTTCTTTTCCCCCTTCTTTCTCTTTTCCCTCATTTTTTAATTAACAAAGATTTATTTTCTCTCCCTCCAACTTTCCCTATCAAAAAAGAAAAAAAATGTATATTCAAGCAAACCAACCCCTGCATTGGCTGTGTTCTTGGCTAGTTTCTAAGCCTTCCTCATTTCTAATCCCCAATTTAAGTAATCACTTCTGGGTGGCTGAACTCACTTGGGCTCCTTATCAACTACTCTTGATTCTAGCGCACTTGTCCCTTCTCACATCTTGGTACCTGGTTCTGGTGTACCCTTGTTTTTTATTCTTCCCCTTCTCCTTCCCATTAGGTCCCCATTACCCCTAAATCTATGATACTTTGCCTCATGATCTTGTTTTGATTCCCCCAAACATGAGCTTCAGGGTCATTCTTGTTCTGGCTTAATAAGGGTTTTTTTTGGGGGGGGCTACACAATGGGGTTAAGTGATTTGCCCAGGGTCACACAGCTAGTGTTATGTATCTAAGGTCGGATTTGAACTCAGGTCCTCCTGACTCCAGGGCCTGTGCTCTATCTACTGTGCCACCTAGCTACTCCTGGCTTAATAAGTTTTTCTGCCCAGTGTTTCTCCAGAAATTCCAAAACACAAATATAGTTTCTAGAATTTATCTGTAAGGAAATAGAGTAATATGCTGAATTATTGTGGTAGATGGAAAGGGACCTTCTCAGAGTGAGCAAAATCCAATTTCAAGTCCTGTCTCTGAAGCAAATTGGCAAGGATTTCCAAATCTTCCAAAACTACAACCCTGGATACTTCCCCAAGGTCCCCCAGCTCTGATTGGTGAACTTCTGTCTTAACTGGACAGCTAGGTATCACAAAGGATAGGGCCCTGGATCTGGAGTCAGAAAGACCTAAGGTAAATCCTGCCTCAAATACTTACTAGCTATGTGACCCTAGGCAATTGGCTGCCTTAGTTTCCTCATCTGTAAAATGAGGATGATAGCACTTACCTTCCCAGGGTTGTTGGGAGGATAAAATATGTTTATAGAGGACTTTTCAAGCCTTAAAATACTATATAAATGCTAGCTATTATTCCTATGTCGTCTGGAATCAGACCTCCATGCCATTTTCCAGCCATTGCCACACCATGTGAAAGTCTCCACAACTTCTTTTCTCTCTGTCTCTGTCTGTCTCTCTGTCTCTCTGTCTCTCCCTCCCTCTCTCTCTTGTTCTCTCTGTGTCTGTCTTTGTTTCTCTCTGTCTGTCTTAGTCTCTTTTTTTCCTCTTCCCTTCCCCCGATTCCCACCCCAAGCAATTTTTCCAGTACTGTAAGTCACAGGGGCAAATCCTTGTCAAAGGCCCTAGTAACTCTCCTCTCAGGGTGTTCCCTGTGAGGGGAGATCCATCTACTCTAGACCAAGCTCATTTATTGGTTTACTAGTCCAAGCTCACACTTAGCCAGTCAGGAATCCTCTTGATGGTTGGTGGGCTTTTGTTGATGCATAGACATTCCTTGTAGCAGCAGAATGGAAATGCTGCACTGCTCAGAGCCATTGGGCACCACCTTGAAATTGTTTCTGTTTTGTCCAGAAACCCTGAGGGTCTTCACCTCCTAGATCTGTCTATATATTTTTAAAAAGACCATTCTTTGCCTCATTTCTTTTTAAGCCTCAATCACTGAGTGGGCATTACCTGAGTCAGACCTGTTAAAGACCTTAGCTTGAAAAGGCCAAGGTCTCCCACTGCATCCTGGGCCATCTCCAGTTGTCCTGATCCATATCTGGTCACTGAACCCAGATGGCTCCAGAGGAGAAAGTGAGGCTGATGACCTTGCACAGCCCTCCCTTGCTTAAATCCAATTCACTTGCATGTCATGGCATCACCTCCCTGATGTCATGGTACCCTTTGAGAACAAAGGACACACAGCAGGGGATTGGATCAGGGTGGAAGAGTAGGAAGCTGGTTTGGGAAAAGACTGAGAATCTTGCTAGACTTGGCAGTGGTGCCATCCTGAATCTCCCTCAAGCTAGGAGCCTGAGTAGGTTGAAGTTAAGCACCTTGCTCAGACAGGGTTGAGGCAGTGATGACTCTCAAACCATGCGAGTAAGCCAAAGGCATAAGAATTGATGGTCCTGGCACCACTGACATTCAGTGACAACCAGGCATACCCTTTATTGAGACCTTTAGGGCTTATTCTAACTTAGTTTTTCCCTTTTGTTTTTATTTTAAAGTCTATTCTCCCTATAACTGCCCTCAGAAAAACATTTATAAAACTGAAAAAAAAGGGAGGGCTATGTGCTTGTTTCAGAGACAGCAGGGGAGTGGGTATTGAGAAATTATTCCTCTTTCCATAGAGAGCTGGTGCATGGGTGTGAACTCTCAGGTGGAAGAAAATCTGGGGAGGCCAAGGAAGAAAGGAGGCGGGCCAAAGTCTTGGGGCACAAGGGTTAGAAGGAAGAAGAAGAAGACTGGGAGCCAGACCTAGGTTTAAGAAGCTTTAGGGAGATTTAAAACCAGTGGGACTCACACAGCTGTGAAAAATATGTGGAAATGAGCCTGCAGATTTGTGGAATAATAAAATGTGAGAAGGGGAAAGGGATCAATGAAACTCAGCCCTCTCATTTTACAGATGAGGAAGAACAGGCCCAGAAAGATGAGTGACTTGCTCAGGGTCACACAGATAGTAGCAGAACTGAGACCAGAACCTGGGTGTCTTGATCCTCGGTTTAGTGTTTAGAAAGGTGTGGGCGCCAGCCGAAAATGGAATATGTTGACTTGGCAATGTTGTATATTGATGAGATTTTGTTCTTTGAGGAGGGACTGGGTTTGGGGACCTGGAAAATTGAGATGAGTAGTTAGTCGATAAGTATTTATTAAGTGCCTACTATGTGTCAGTCATTGTGCTAAGTTCTGGGGGTACAAAGAAAGGGAAAACACAGTTCCTGATTTTAAGGAGCTTACAATCTAATGGACAACACAACATGAAAACATGTATGAACAAGGTATAGATAGGATTACTATAAGATATGGGCATTAAGAGGGAACAGGAAAGGCTTCTCAGTAGAAGGTGACATTTTAGCAGAGCTAAAAAGTTGTTCCATTGTTTCTGACTTTTTTTTGGGGGGGTTTCTCGGCAAAGATGCTAGAGTGGTTTGCCATTTCTTTCTCCAGCTCGTTTTACAGGTGAGGAAACTGAGGCAAACATCATTAAGTGACTTACCCAAGGTCACACAGCTAATAAGTACCTGAGGCCAGATTTGAACTGAGGAAGATAAGTCTTCCTGACTCGAGGCCCAGTGCTCTCTACTCATCGTGCCACCTAGTTTTCAGAGGTAAAAATACTCATTCTTGTTTGGATAGTTCAACGATGGCTCCATGGATCCATAGGGACATTGTGAAGATTAAGCAAGATGATGACTGTGAAGCACTTTGCAACTGTAAATTGCTATACTAATGTAGACTGGTACTCCAGAGAGAGAACTGGGCAACAAGCTTCTTGTGTGTGGGTGGCCGGTTTGTCTTTAAGAGACAAGAGCTCTCCTAGACAACTATTTTAATACTTACTCGATCTGATTCAATCTTTTTTTTTTTTCAAATTTTATTTCAGGTGAAGGTAATTGCTGTTGATGAAAAACTGAATGTCACCTATGAGGAGAGCATTAACTTTGATAAAGAGCTTCCAGAATTTGGGTATGTTTAAAACAGTGTATAATTTAAACCTCAAAGCCCTCCATTCCCTAGAACATGTTGCATGCAATGTACCAGCCCTAACTAATTTATGCTTAACCTGGAGGTCTGAAGGAATATCAGTTTTAAGGACTTTGGTTATTTAGAGATAAAAAGAGAGAAGAATGAGTTGCAGGAAAGGTCCCTTCCAATTCTAAATCCTATTAACATCCTTTGACCTCAGTTTCCCCTGGTACAGGACAAAGGCTGGATTTGGAGTCAGAGAACCTGGTTTCAAATCCCATCTCAGCCACTTACTACCTGTGTGGAATTGAGTGATAACCTGAACCTCTCTGAGTCTCAGTTTCCTCATCTGTAAAATGAGGTGGCTGAACTAGATAGTTTCTGAGGTTCTTTCCAGTTTTAGATCTATCATATCATTTTACATATCATATATCTAGTCTAGCTGGTGAGTATCCCTGAGGAGATATATAAGAAGGACAATAGAGAAGGAGAAAGGCCAGGGTGATATTTTCAGTAACCAAATTAAAAACCCTCCCTTGATTGTGGACACACTTAACACCTCAGAAAAGGATAAACAGGTCAGAAAAAAACCTGGGTGAAAACAGAGAGTCCTTTCTTTGGGGGAAGCTCTCTATGTTCCTCACAAAGGGTCTCTGTAGATGAAGACTAGCTCTATAGACTGACATAAGAGGCAGTTTCTTTATTTTACCTCTATTCCTATTGACCTACCTGCCAAAGGCCAGATTCCCCAAGCAGACTAGGTCTGTTGCCATATATGACTATATATAGTCTCTCTTATATTCCTGTTTCCTTCCTGCTGAGAATGTCTATTGAGGATCCAAGCATTAAAATCAGGTACAGGTAGCACACAGTTTACTAATAGTTTGTAAACTGGGCCCAGAATTGAATGAGAGTAGGAAAGTGCTCTAGATTGCATTGGGCTTTTATTATATTTCCATATTTCCCCTTTTCAAATCATTGCCTTTTATTTTATTTGGAATATTTTATCGATTTTGATGCAACAATACTTTTTTTTTTAATGTATTTTTTTTTATTCTTTTCCAACAACTACCCCACTTCCATCTCTGAAAACAAAACAATCCAGTTAAGCAGAAGTTGGGGCAGTGTCTTTTTTTGAGAATGTCTCTCTGAAACAGAAGTCCATCTTTTTAACATCAGCATTCTTCCAGGCCTATTAAATGACTACAGGTTATGGACTGCCACAGTCTCTAAAATAATTAAAGTTGAGGGTCACCCAGAAGGCAATGTGCATGCTGGTATGAATAGGCAGCAGAGTATTACCAGTGCAGGAGAAGGACTGTGAAGAATGTCATCAGAAAGTTGTGCTGTAGGAAAAGGAGGGAAGCTGGTTGTAAAACAAGCTGATGACCCACAGGCTCTGTCAGATGGCTGTGCGACCCTGCACTTGTCATTTAACACTGTCTGCCTCAGGGGAGCACCAACTTCTCAGGGTGTTGTGAGGATCAAGTGAGATATTTGTAAGCTCATTACAAACCTTATAGCACTATATAAATGCTAGGCACTAGTAGTATTATTAGCAATATGGCAAATATTTATAGATATAATTCACATACATATAATACACAATATATAATACACATAATACACAAAAGCTATTTGGAGGTGGGGGTCATCAATCATTTTTAAGAGTGTAAAGGGATCCCAAGACCAGTTAGTCAGTCAATAAATATTTATTAAGCACCAAGTATTGTTTTAGGAATGAAAGTACAAAAGACAGTCCCTGTCCTTAAGTAGCTTACAATCCAGTGGGGAAAGACAACACATGAAAGAAAGTGCAAAAGCAGAGGGAGGAATAGTGGAGATGTCGAAGTTCAAAATGAGTGCAACAGGGTGGGAAATGAGATGTCTGTTTTGTTCCCTCTCTCCTTTTAAATGGAGAGATTTATGACTCCTCCCTTTAGTCAGAGGGATGGAAGGTTCTGTTTGGGATGTTCAGGGAGGACTAGCAACCCTGGTATGAGGGCTTGCCAAGAGCTGCTTACCCACCTTTGGTGTCTACCTGGTTCACCCGACTCTCACTTGTAGCTCCAAGAAGCTGTAGCATGTGCATTGGTCACACCTGGGAGAACTGTCTCCAAAGATGGGCTGAGCCAGGGTGAGGGCGATCAACAGGCCTCAAACCCTTCTATGAATTAGGGGGATGTCTACTGCAACCATGTTTACTTTCCCTGGCAGAACTTCCCCCAGTGAAATGGGCAAATAAGAGCAATTTGTTCCAAAGGCCATGTAGGCAGCTTAGAGATTGAAGACACCAAGGTCATCCACTGTAAGTGGGCCATTGACTTTTGTACTGCCGCCGGACTTTGATGACTCTGGAAGAGAGAATGAGGCTGACGACCTTGTGCAACTCTGCCTCACTTAAATTCAATTCACACAAGAGTAAAGACATCTCTCTGTAAGTAAGTGTCAGAGATAGGATTTTAACTCAGGCCTAACAAGACAGTACCTAATTGCCACTAATGAATTTAAGTCACTTGGTCCAGATGAACTAAGTCCTAGAGTACAAAGATCTGGCAGCTATGAATAGTAAACCAACAGGAGAAGGACCGCAAGAATGGAGAAGAGCACATATTGTGCCTATTTTCTAAAAGGGAAAAGAACAGAATCTCTCTGTAGGCCAGTGAGCTTGGTTTTGATTCCTAGGAAAATTCTGAAAAAAAATCATCAAAGAGATAATTGGCAAAGAATCTAGAATTCATTCATTCAATAGATTCATTTGATAAGCATTTATTAAAGACCTACTATGTGCCAGGCACTGTGCTAAATGTTGGGGATACAAAAAGAGGCAAAAGATGGTCCCTGACCTCAAGGATCTTACAAACTAATGGTGGAATCAATGTGAAAACAAATACACAAAAAAGCGAGCTATATACAGGATTAATAGGAAATAGATAACAGAGGGAAGGCATGGCAGTTAAATGATTACTGGGGGAAGGCTTCCTGTAGAAGGTGGGATTTTATTTGGGACTTAAAGGAAGCCAAGGAGGTTAGTAATTAAAGCAGAAGAGGGAGAGCATTCCAGGCATGGAGCACAGCCAGAGAAAATGCCCAGAATAGAGAGATGGAGTGTCTTGTTTGTGGAACAGCCAGGAATATCAGTGCCATTGAACTGAAGAGGAAATGTCAAGGAGTAAGGTGTAAGAAGACTGGAAAGGTAGGAGGGGGCTGAATTATAAAGGGCTTTGAATACCAAACAGAGATTTTGTATTTGCTCCTTAAAGCAATAGGGAACCACTGGAGTTTATTGAGTAGGGGGTATGATATGCTCAGATCTGCATTTTTGGATAAGCCCTTTATTGGTTGAATCTCTATTTGGAGTGGGGAGAGACTTGAGGCAGGGAGAACCAGCAGTTATTGCAGTAATACAGATATGGGGTGATGACGACCTGTTTTAGAGTGGTGGCAGGGTCAGAGGAGAGAAGGAGGCACATTTGAGAGATGTTGCAAAGATAAAATACACAGGCCTTGGCAACAGCTTGAATATGGGGGGTGAGAGGAGAGATAGGGAGGAGTGAAGGATGAGCCTGAGGGATTGGGAGGATGGTGTTGTCCTCTCCAGTAACAGGAAAGGTAGAAGCATGGGAGGAAGACTGTAGGGGGAAAGACAGAGTTCTGTTTTGGACATGCTGAGTTTAGGGTGTTTACTGGGCATCCAGTTCAAGATGTCCAAAATCTAAGGAAGAAAATAACTTCTTGAAAACTAGAATTGGGCAAGAGGAAATGAGTGATGTTTTAAGATACCAAGAAATAATAGAACACTATAAATAATTGAAGTAATATTTATTATGCATGGGTAGATAAAGCTAATATAATTTTTTAAAATGACAATTTTACCTAACTAATCTATTTATGTAATGCCATCCCAATTAAATTACTAAAAAAATTATCTTACTGAGTCAGAAAAAATAACAGAGTTCATTTGGAAGAGCAGAGGGTCAGGAACTTTAAGGAAACCAGGGGGAAAAGATATGAAGGAACTAGATGCAGTAGTATCAGACCTTAAACCATGTTATAAGGTGAGAGTAGTGTTGAAGTGTAAAATGGATAATTTTGATTATTTTCAATTAAAAATTTCCTGTATAAATAAAACCTATATAGCCTAGAATGGAGGGAATGCAGAAAACTGGGAAAAACACTCACATACAACTTCCCAGATATGATGTGATTGGGTTGGAATACTGTTGTAATGTAGGAAATGATGAGCTGGTAGATTTAGAAAAATATGGAAAGACTTGAACTTGTGAAGGAAGATGCTATCCACCTTCAGAGAAAAAGATGACAGGTGGAAATAAGCCTACTATGGTCTTACAGATATGCATTTGAGTGTATATGTGTATGTATTGTATGTTTATATATATGTATGTGTATATATATATGCATCTATTTTTATATCTATATAGCTATGCTTAATTGTAGCCTTGGGGGAGGGGAAGAAGGGGAAAAATAAAGTAAAAAGCGTGCAGCAGAGGACAAAAAAAATACAAGGAAGCAAAGAAAAAATGGATAGTTTTGAAAATAATGTCTAGTATTTATTACATAGATTTTCTTGGAATAGAAATTTATTGCTTTATGTTGAATCCTCTCTTATGTTCTGCTGTGTACATGGCAATTTTTCTTCTCTTCTTTTGTATTTAAGTTTAAAATAAATTTCAAAACTAAACTAAAATAAAACATTGATTTCCTGAAGAAAAAAAAACCCAAATCAAAAGAAAGAAAAATAGAAGAAAATCTGAAACATCTCATTAGAAAAACAACTGATCTGGAGAACAGATTGAGGAGAGACAAAATAAGAATTGTTGGGCTACCTGAAAGTTATGATCAAAGAAAGAATCTTGACACAAAATTACAAGAAATTATTAAGGAAAATTGCCCTGCAAGTCTAGAACAAGAGGGTGAAGTAGAAATAGGAAAAATCTACTATTCACTACCTTAAAGAGATCCCAGGAGGAAAACTTAGA